GGAATGGGAGAAATCAACTTCCTCCTTCCCAGAATTCTCCTGTTCTCATTACATCATTTCTACTTCCTGTCTGGTTTTTCCACCTACATTTGCTGCCTGGCCAATCAGCATTTATTTAAAATATGACTGACAGAATACAGACAATTCTCCTGCACCACATGCATAAGGAAAAATAGTTCAGGAGATAAGAATTTCGGCTGAGGGAGGGGTATTGATAGAGGTTTCTGTCCCGCCCTATGAATTGTAGGCTGGTTTTCTTTATTTTATGTCTAAAATCCACTTATGAGTGAGTACATATGATATTTGTCTTTCTAGGTCTGAGTTACCTCACTCAATATGATGTTTTCTAGATCCATCCATTTGCCTGCAAATCTCAGACCTTCTCTAGCTAACATGTCCTTCATCTAGGGACAATAAAACTTCCCCTTGGATCCTTTGTGATATTGCCAAATAAATCTCTGTTGAGCTTGAATACGCTCCTTAATGTCCTCTCAGTCTGCCTTGCCTTTCCCAAACTCTCATCCAAGTGTTTTCATCCCCCCTCCTTTGCTGTTGTTTGCTTTTTAAGATAGTCAGCCATCCATCACCATATGAACAGAAGTGAGATGAATTTTAATGAGCTTGTCAAACCTGTTTTATGAATGCTGAGTGAATGGCATCTTCTTGTACCCAGGAGGTGATACATGGACAGAGTAGTTGGGAATGTTCTTTTTCTGTGCCAAGGATATGGAAGGTGCCCTTAAATCCACCTGAACACTTACTGGCAAAAGTTCTGTTTTGGGACTGCCTAGTCATCTCATCTACAGTTGTTCCAGCTCCATGATACATAAGCAGGAGAACGAATTATAACCATCGTCACTAAGAGTCAGGTGTGGTGCCGAAAGCAGTAACTGAGGCAAGGGCATTGCTGCCAAGTTTGAGGTCATCCTCAGCTACACAGGGAGTTCTGGGCCAGTTAGGCTACTGTGGTGAGACTCTGCCTCAAACATCTGCAAGATGAAGAAAGAGGAGGTGGAAGGAATATTTCCCCAAATCTCTTAAGGACCTCTGTGCCTTGTGAAAGTCGATTGGAAAGAAACACAAACCGAGATGAAGTGGAAGCCTAGCTGGACCTTTCAAGGGGAAGGTTTCATTAGAGGATAACCCTAGGAATCAACCAACATTGAGAAAACACAGCTGAGCTGCATGGGAATGGGTCTGGTGGGAAGCAGGGGCATTTGAGGAGTGTAGCTAAACAGTACTGTAATGATCTGTCCTGTCTTTTTAAGAGACAGGCCATGACCACTCCTTCCCCAGTCCACCGAGGCAAGCTGATCTTCAGCTCCCCCAAAGAGGCAGCTTCTGCCTTGCTCCATTCTATCCCTACTTCCACCTTTTCCCTCCCTCCCTGCCTCCTTCCCTTCCTGCCTCCCTCCTCTCTCTACCTCTATGCTCTTCTCCCTTGCTTCCTTTCCCCTCCATAACCCAATAAATAAATAAATAAATAAATAAATAAATAAATAAATAAATAAATAAATATCCAACCCCACCTTGCATGGTATGCCTATCCAAGTCTTTGTCTCTTACCGGCCACGTGGCTCCCTGCCCAGGATCAGCCACCTTCGGAGACCTGCAGCATGGTCTTGTGTGTCATCCCTGACTAGGACTGGCTGCTCTCAGGACCCCTGCCTGCTGCCTGCCCTGACTCGGGGACCTGCAGCATGGTCTCATGGTCTGCTTCCCGCTGTAGCCACTTGGGATCCCACAGCATTTTATTTTACCATTACACGTACTACTTTGACAGTTAGACTGGTTCTGACAGAGAAATGGAGCCAAACCAAGCCCCCAAGATGTTCTGGCTTACAGGTACTTACAGTGACACCCTCACAAAGTTGCCCAGATTCTGACCAAAGATTATCAAGCTTCTGGGTCTAAAGGCTATGAGCTTACAATGTTGAGTATGCTTTGTAAAATTCAGAGTTTAAAAATACAAGTTAGGCCTAAGAGGCAGATCTTGCAGCTAAAACATGTCATGCTCTGTTTTTGGAGATTTTAAGAGCCAAATAAAGTTGGGAAATTGGTATAGTTACTAAAATAGGTGTTATTTCCTTTTAATTATAGAACTAAATGCTAAGCTTTACCAGACAGTGGGGAAAGGTGCATACTTGTATAAAAATAGAATGACTAATTATTTTTCCCTGACTTTGGTGCTTAAGAGACTGATAAGCAGCTGATTAGTTATGTACCCACCATTTCCTGAATTAAGTGATGAAATGCACAGCAGGACAGAGACTAGAATGAACTGAGTACCTACTCTATGACTGGCATCAGGCTGGGTTCTTAATAGTTTCTTCCAAAGCAAGTGGTCTTCACAAGATGAGGGTACTGACCTGACAAGGCAGAAAACTAAGCTGATCGAGTTGAGTGACCAAGCCTATAGTTAAGACTCAGTGGTCAAGCTGTGGTTCCAACCCAAATGTGTTGGAGCTTACCAATAGCATCCACATCCTTTACTAGAGGAGCCTCATGAGAGACAGATGGCTGGGATTTAGAGTGATTAGTTACCTCCAGTAGAGTTTTCAATTTCCCTAAGAGTTGGATAACTCATCTGCTGATGTGTGGCACACTCACTGGTCATAAAAAAAAAGTCCTCATTGGGAAAGCCATGTCATCTTGATGATAAATAATTTCTTTTATAATGATTACTTGGTGCCATTTGCTGATTGAAACAGACTTGTCACATATCACAGGGCTTTTCCCTACCTGCCGTACCCTTTTATGACCTTTCAAGGGAAAACTCACTGTCTCAACATACTAATACAAATTGAAGGCGGTTAAGACACTTGTCTATTATCATGCTATGAGGAAATATATACAACAGAAGGAGGAACTTGCCATCCTTGCCATAGCAATTTTCCATGGTTCTAGACTTTTCTTCTCCTTGCAAACCTAGATTGGTGATAAGTGCTTTAGTTTAATGAAGATAACCATGACTTGATACTGCATCCTCAATGTGCTGTAGTTTATTTCTACATGAGAATTTTTATTAGCATAGGTCTTGAGGAACAGGAAGTCTGCATGACAGGCATCACCTGAAACCTCCCTTTTTCATTCAAAAATACAGAGGTATCTGTCTCTTTGAAAGCCTAGACATTAATGAAAAGTTGGCTGTTTTTGCTTCATCTAGATACATGATGCCTTCTCATTGGCCTACTGTGAAATCATACACAGTTCAATCTCAAATGCATTAAGAAAACAGTGTTCATGGATCCGGGGGACATGGCTCAATCAACAAAGTGCTTGCCATGCATGCAACTTTGAGGATCTGAGTTAGGCACACTGTATCCATGTAAAAAAGCCATGTGTGTGGGTGTTTGTTTGTGTGTGTGTTTGCACGTGTGTCCACATACTTGTATTCTCAACTCTGTGGAGGCAGACAGGCAGATTCTTAGGGCTTGCAGATCAGGCAGTCAAACCTAATCATTGAGTCCTAGGTCATGATAAGAAACCCTGCCTCAAAAAACAAGGTGAAAGACACAGAAGATTGCTTTTTGGCCTCTATACATATGAATCTGGGAGCATGTATGTGCACACACACACACACACACACACACACACACACACACACATACAGGGAGGTGTCTCATTATTCTTGCTGGAAGAGAGACAATATATCCTATTTCATTATAGAAGGGTTTTGGATATTCTGCTTCAGAAACATCCCAAAGGCTCCTTACAGTGCAATATTGACCCCTCCACAGACCCACTAGACTCCTTAAGGACAGAGCCCAGTATACTTAAGAGTATTTGAATCACATATGTATGCAATGTCAGGATATTAAGGACAGTCTGGGATACATAGTAAATTCTATGCTGGCCTGGGCTCTGTCACAAAATTTAAAACCAAATACAAACAAAAAGTATTTGATCATAAAGTGTTTCAAGTTTGAGGTAGCAAGGTCAGTAGCTAATCTTACAGGCTTCCTTAATTAGGATTGCACTCTTGAAATCTCTAAGCATCAATTTTCTCTAGTACAGAAAAATATAGCATCAGGATCCTATGATGCTAATCCAAGCTAGCATCTACTTCAATGTCAAACTAACAACTACCAGGTAGGAAGAAGTGCTGTCTTGCCATTATTGGAATTCAGAAGTACTTCCATTCATACTATTCTGGTCATTATATCTTCAGTTTCCCATCCCAAACCTTCTCAGAGAGTCCTCAGATTCCTCTACTATTTAGCAGTATATTCATCCATTCCCTGAAGCCATGGACTGCATCTATGTTACTTATAATTCAGATATATGTTGAATAAAGAATGGCTGCACAAGTAACTATTAATAACAGAGAAACAAGAAACAAAGACAAATTCCAAGATTGGTGGTAGTAACAAGTAGAAAACAATATGTGACTTTGGACATGATATTTGAGGAATGCAGTACCCAGAACTAACAATTTTCAAATATGTCTGCCTTTTCTTCTGACACTCGCTAGGCTATATATGTACCTTTTAGAGATAAGAATAATCAGAGAAAATATGAGCTCCTGCTGTTTTCCCAGCCTATACATGGAAGACTGCACTAAGACAAATACTGATACGTATTGCAAGTGCAGACCCCTGAATAGCCAAGCTGCACATACAATATACAAGACAATATCTGTTCAATTAAGAAACTAAATATTGAATTTATTGCTAGAGACTGATCTCTAATTTATATCAATAGATAAAGACATTACATGTCAAACTGATAAAGAATTCAATGGGAGATCAGCATTAAAGCCAGACGAGAGGCTTTCTGGAAAGACCGCACCATACTTCCACAGCTCAACTGCTTATTGCTTGCAGCATGACATAGAGTAATAACTGAAAGTGCCACCTGTGCATGTCCTATGCTCTGATGAAACAGGAAACTGCATGTCTTCCTCCACATTGCTACACATCCCCTCTCTTTTAGGAAGGGACAATGAGTCTAAACATCACTCTCTGTTGTCCCCTGTTTACATTGCCCTTATGATTTACCTGTGTTGTAGCCCCTTCCAAGGGCTGGCCATGGACGGTGATTTTTCCAGAGATTTCCAAGATACCAGTCACTCTGGTTCTCTACCAAGCCCAGGACCTGTTGGCCTGTAAAACACAGAGAATACAGATGTCTTAGAAGCAGCAGCACAGGCATCTAGGGCTGGAGAGTACCAGACACAATGAATAATTATGCAGACCCACATTTTCATAATAACAGCTCACATTCACTGGGGGCTTTCATTAAGTGCTAGGTCCTGACCCAAGTGTTTAACTTGCATAAACATATTTCATTCTTACAGTTAGGCAGCTGCTTTTATTATCTCAATTTTACAGAGAAGACACAGCTTCCAAAACGGTTAATTATCTTGTCCAAGGTCATCTGTTTTTGACAATGCCATAGTCTCCAACCATCCATCCATCCACCCAAACATCTGTCCATCTATCCATGCATACAGATGTGTTTCATTCCCTAAATCATGGGACATGAGTTATATCTTTATGACCTGACATACTAATCTTCAAGCATTCCAATATGATGTTTTCTTTTATATATTAATTTATTGGATTTCTGCATTTTTTTAAATTAAGGAATAAGGGATTATCCTTGTTTCATGAGAGGAGAGTCCATAGTCAAGAGCCAGCTTGTCACAGTGCTTCTGTTGTTACTACTTCCAAAATACATCCATCTATGTGTTGTCGGAGGCTGCTTGTTCGTTTCCTAGCTGCCCAGACCCAAAACAATTACACAGAAACTGTATTATTACAACATTGCTTGGCCTATTAGCTCACATTTCTTATTTTCTAGCTCTTATATCTTAAATTAACCCATTTCTATTAATCTTTGTATTGCCATCTGGTCGTAGTCTACTGGTAAGTTTCCATCTGGTGTCCAGCATATTTCTCCTGTGGTGGCTATATGGCTTCTCCCTGACTCTGCCTACTCTCTCTCTCTATCTTTTCCAGCCTAATTATATTCTGTTAAGCCATTGGCCGAAAGCAGCCTCTTTATTAACCAATGGTAGTAAAACATATTCATAGCATATAGAGGGGAATCCCACATCATCTATGTTACTAAGCACCATGTCAACATCATGTCAATGCAATGATGTCATCTGGATGGATAAGTACTTTTCTGCCACCATAGCCAACCTTGTCTCTGGTGAACCATAACATTTCAGATGGGTTAGGCTTGTAGTCTATCATTTAGGGCTGTGTTTCTAGGGATCATTAATCATATTTGGCTGTGTCTAGTGAGTGTAGTCCATCACTAAGGGATGTGTGTCTGGAATGTAGGTAGGACTGAATCTCTGAGCCTTTCAGGCATGTTATCAAACCTACCTAGTTTCATTTAGACATTCTACTATAAGTTATCAGAAAAAGGTATCTTAGAATTACCCCTGCCATTTTATTGACTGGGGAATGAGACTTTCATACAACCAGTGATTAATACAATTACAAACAATTACTGATGAAGCTAGTATGTAAATCTGCATTTGTCTGACACCCACATCCTTTTCTTATGAGCATTAGTGATCCACATTTCACAGAATGAGAAACTGAGGTTTAGGAACTTTAAATGATTTGCTAACAGTCACACAACTAGCCACTGATGGCTTTCACAGCTAACCTTCTGAAGTGAAACTTCTCATGCTGTTGACCAATCTTAGAAATAAAGAGCTTTCTAACCAAATGAAAACCCAGCTGGATGCTAAGAAAACACAGCAGTACTGTTGGAACACCACGCTGGGTGATATAGGACCTTGGTTTGATGACAGCTCTCTGAAATGATGGTGCAAAAGTTTGCTGCAATTTATTTGATCAATTTATTAAGCTGCTATCTAAATCATCGTCCCTGCACAAACATATAAATTAGAGGCACAGGAAAAATACTACCGCCCACTTTGTCAATGTAGGTGATTGCAACCCAAACTTGTAGAATCCCTTCATAAAGTGTATGTCCAATTTAGTGAGTGGAAGAGCCAATAAATGCTTCATGCAATAACCTTGAGGTTTATTGCAAAACAAGCAGCTCAAAAAGACTTGGCCCCTTAGCTGAGAAGCTCTAATCAGAATCCTTGCACTGGAGAACAATTTGATATTCCTACATAGGAGGATTGGACAAAGCTAAAATAGTCCTTGGGGGTAACAGCAGACACTAATTAAGGAGTCTGAGTTAGTATCACTAATGCTTTTGAATTGATAAAGGACATCACAAACTCAGACCTGGCAAAGATGTGGTGGTTTGAATGAGGAATGCCCTACCATAGGTTCAGGCACTTGAAATGTTGGTAAACAGTTGGTAATGCTGTTTGGAGAGGTGGTGCAGCCTTGCTGAGGGAAATGTATCACCAAGGGTGGGTTTTGAGAAATTTAAGACTTGCCCTACTTCTGCTTCTCTCTCTGCTTTATGTTTGTGGTTGAAGGTGAAATCGCATAGTTCATCCCATCCCTGATGCTTGCTATCACAGCTTCCTGCCACGATTTACTCTTATCCCCCTGGAACCATAAACAAAAATAATCTGTTCTATAAATGATTTTTTGATCATGGTATTTTATCACAGCAACAGAAGAGTAACTATTACATGTACCATATACTCAGAGCTGACAAGCAGGGAATAATGAGGTTTTACTGCATTGAGGATGGCTATATGCATCTCAGGAAATATGGACTCTCAGTATCTGAAATCCAAATTCTGTATTTTGGCACCATCCACATTTTATTTGTCTCAGCCTATTGCTTCAAACGATTATTCCCCTAGCTAATGCTTCCTTCCTACCCAACAAAATTGTAGGGTGTTACTTGTGTTCTTGTCTTTCTCGTTCACCAAGCACTCCCTCAGCAGGGATCATACTTGCCCCTGCTAGTCCTTACCCACAGTCCTCTCAAAGCCTATATTGAGCTTGACACTTAACATATAACTCCAAGTCTGAGATATATTTTGTATTTATGGCATCATGGCATATATTTTTATTTGGTAATTTCTATCAGTATTTGTGCCTTCAGCTGATTTACATCCCTTAAATTACCAACTGAGTAGTAGTAAGCATACATGCCCCTCATGTGTACATGCCCCATATTCCTACATCAGCAAATGCCAAGATCTGGGTAATATTTCAATGTTTCACATACAGTAAGTGTTTAACAAATGATAGCTATATAAATGACTTTTTTGGCATACACACATAAATATTAGTGTTCTTTCATGTCTTTGATGTGTATGTGGTGTATGCATGTGTAAGTGTGTGTATGGTCGAGGTTGACATGAGATGTATTCCTGTATTGTTTTCTACCTTAAACTTTCAAATTAAGTCTCTCAATGTATCTCGAGTTTGCTGCTCCAGCTGGGCAGGCTCACAAGCCCAAGGGACATTCCTATCCCTGTCTTTTTGACATGCTACAGATGTGTTCCGCCAGTCTTATGCTTTTGAGTCAGATTCCCATGATTGACCTTACTTTACTGACTGACTTGTCCCAATAAAGTCAATGCAACCAATATATCCTCCTCAAGTCAATGCTTTCTTTTACTTTATTTTTGGCTGTACTAGGGATTGGACATAGCCTTCTATGTATGGTAGGCGAGTATTTTTACCAATGTCAAATATCCTCACATAAGCCTAGGAAATTGAATACTATGTTACCAGTTGGTGGTGTCAACAGCCCCAGCCCTTGTCCCTGTGATTTTGAAAATGCATGTCATTTCACTCTCTCCTATTCCCAATATCAATGCAACTTTTATAAAGTTGTTGAGCTCAGTCAGGTGTCAGTGTCCCTCACACGGAGAACTGCAAAGATAGAAAACAGCAGCAGCAAATTGCTCATAAAAAGCTTAAACTTAAGAACCTTCAGGAATAACTTTAAGTTGTCTCTGGAGATAACATTCAAATCTTTCTCTCTCAAGCCTGGGATATCTTTCTTCTGCTGACAGCACAAAATTCCTTCACTTGATGTTGTACAAAAAAATAAAATAACTATCAGCATGATTGTAATGTTCAGATCCATTGGCTGAAAAGAGCAAAATAATCAACAGAAGATTTCATTTTGCTTTAAGTAGATTCAGTAGCCGTTATATCATTTATTGAAACAGTAGTGAGCAGAAGTGATTTTTCCTTATTGGTTGTTCAGCAGCCTTGGGTTTTGCCTGTAGGCTTGTGAATTCCCTGAGTTGTCTGCTTGGTGTGTCTCCCAAGCCCACTGAGGTCTGCAGCTAGGGAGAGGGAGCGGTAAGCATTAACACTATTGGAGGCAGGGTATAAAATGTGGACTCTTGCCCTGCTGTGTTCTTGCTGTGAAGCTTCTAGAAAACTTTTCAACTTCTCATTTCCTTGGTATTTCTCTTGGTTCGTATGAATACATGCATTTAAATCATGTTATATGTGTCAAATTGTACAAATTGAATGTCTCTTTGCACAATGCTTAGGGTATTTTATAAGTTTTCTTTTCTGGGTATGATCAAGGGGTCATCATTTCAGACACATCATGCCCCACCACACCTGGGAATAGACCCTTGAACTTCAAAATAAAAGTCAATAGCTAGTGGAAGGTTATGTCATTCTGGTTTTCCAGTCCCAAGAGAAGGAACTACCTGCCTTGTTTTTGGTAATGTTTTCTCTCAAATGGGAGGGTGGTGTGGGAAGTCCTACTGTATATGTGTTGCTTTTATTGGTTAATAAAGAAGTCACTTTTGGCCAGTGGCTTAACAGAATATTGCCAGGCTGGAAGAGATATACATAGAGAGAGGAGGCAGAGTCTGTGAGATGCTATGAAGTACCAGAGGGGAGGAACACAAGCTGTCAGCTAGAACCTTGCCAGTAGGCCACAGGCCTCATGGTAAAAGGGCTATATACCACAGTAATAAAAATGGATTAACCAAAAATATGAGCCAGCTAGCAATACACCAAGTAGTGATTTAAATAATAGTTTCTGTAGGATTATTTTGGTTCTTGGGTGGCCAGGAACAAACAAGCGGTCTCCTACTACAGTGGGAATTAACTAACTGGTGAGTTTGAGAAAACTAAGTTTACCACTTTAGCTTCCTTCTATCCCTTCTTTCTCTTTATTCTTCATTATCTATTCCTTCTTCCTATGTGTGTCAATGTGTGCACTC